GTCCGGGGCGGGGGCCGGGGCCGGCGGGGTCGTGCAGGCCATCTGGTCGCCCTGCGGCCGCTACCTGGTCCTCAACGAGCGACGCTCCACCAGCCTGGCCGTCTACGACGTCCGCGTCACCGGCCGCCTGCTGTCCCGGCTTGTTGACCGCGACGCCGACACGAACCAGTGCCTCGGTTGCGACGTCTTCGCCTCGCCGGCAGGTGAGGGGGCCGACGGCAGCATTTTCGAGATCTGGGCCGGCACTCGCGACGGCCGCGTCCTAGCCTGGGATGCTGTTGGCGGCCATGCTAGCGACGGCGGCGAGGAACGTTTGTCATCCCATACCTGGGAATGGCAAGCGCACGGCACCGCGTCTGCTGTTGGGAGTACCGCCCTGCACCCCGGCGGCTCGGTCCTGGCCACCTGCGCGGGCTCATGGGAAGTCGTAGTCGACGAAAGCGATAGCGAGGATTCGGACGCAGATGGCGTAGCTGGCCGCCGCATCAGAAGGCCAGCACTCAGGACATCGGATGACACCAGCCTCAGGATATGGAGCATCGGCTCAGGGGGCGACACACCAGGTCAGGACTAAGACGACGCAGGCGCAGTCACTAACAGTCTTGGATGGATTTACACGCCGCAGCGCTTTGTCGAGCAAAATATGGTCCTGCTCTCGTCTATTCAAGCCAATTCACGCATTTGCGTTGGCTCCGTTCAAGCAACTGACAGGATAGATCTGGCCCTTACTGTGAATGACCTAGCCGGAAAAGATTGCAAAAGTACCCCTGTAAATGAATCGCAAATTGACCACGTCGGAGATCGTCAAGAAAGATGTCGTGTCCGCACTTGCCCCTCACTGTTCCACGGCTGGTCGATCAACTCGCTCGCGCGGTCGAGCAGTCTCCGTCCGCCGAGCACCCCCGAGAAGCGGTTGACCCGCTCCTGGGCCGACATTCTGAGGAACGCCGGTAGTCCGTAGTCCCCGGGCAGCCCTGGCGTCCCAGTTGCCACTCTGCCGCCGTCCCTGGCGCTGGGGTCCTGGAGGAGCCCGCAGATGACCTGCGCGGCGAACACATTCATGCCCGCGCGCCGGAGAAAGAGCTCCCACAGTGTCTCGTCCTGGACCAACAGCGGCTGGAGCAGCCTCACGCTCGCCGCCGACGCGCAGGCAAAGGACGCCGCCCACCTGACGACGGCCGCCTCGCCGCCTGCGACCCAGTAGACGCTCACCGTCGCTACCGCGTCGAGTTGTGCCGCAAAGGCCTGGAGCTTGACGAACGCGAGCCCGTCCGCCTCCGACATGGGACAGGCCGCCGTGGTGTCCAGGCTTCCGTCCGAAACCAGCACGATCAAGCGCTCGTACCTGGAACTGGCGCACCGCACCCGCCGCTGCAACATGTTGTCATCGCCACTCCTGCCCGGCGTCTGCTGCCGAACTTGCACAGTGGTTGCCGTTATTATGCCTGTCGCCGGAGACACTGTTATGTCGGCCTCGCCACCAAGTGGGGACGCCCCCGTGCCCCAGACCGACGAGTTGTTAGCGTTGTAATTCCGCTCGACGAATTCCACTCCAGGCAGCAGATCTTGTAGACCTCGGACAAGGCCTCGAGGCAGGTTGATAGAGATTATCAACTTCAAGCTGAAGTCGGGCACCTCCACAAGCGGTCCCGGAGGCGCTTCCGCCATCTTGCTTGCTCTTGCCTCCTCGGTCTGGTTGGCCACCAAAGGTTCAGGGCTGATCGCCGGCTGGATCCCGTCACCGGCCCCGGGTGTGTCACTCGCTGGCCCACTGCCATCGACAATGACCGGGTGCGCTACAGCCTGATCGGTGGGTTTTGGCTCTGGCGATTCCATCCCCCTGATTTTCAGGAACGACGTGAGAAGTTGGGCGCTTTGGGGATGCCTGCCATCCATCAGCAGCGCCCCCCTGGGTCGCGCATCCGCTCCGCCCCTTGCCCGTTTCGGCGATCTCTGAGCCTTGAGCTTCTTCTTCGATGACTGTTTCCTCTTTCTGACAAGCTCCATCAGGTCGTCAGCGTCGGCGACGGCCGGATCTGGCACCGAGGCCGTAATCTGAGCCGATGGCGGTGTACCGAACCAGGGCTCGACATCATCGTCCGAATCTTGACTACATCGCAGTACGACAAGGCCCCTGGGCTTCTGGACAAACAGTGCGCTCTCAGGGGTGTCGTCCATGTCGCCAAGCAGCTCGTCGAGATTTAACTCTTCTGCTGCGGTGAGCGTCTCGGCTGTTGATACAGCCGCACCGGACGTTGTTAGCACCCACCTGAGCTCCCTCTCCGCGCGTTTGTCCACTGGCCACTTGGGCAGATTGAAGCCGCCAGGATGCGAGCGGATGATGTGCTTGAACATGGCCTTGGGATCGCCGGCTAGATGGCCCCAGTCCGCGACGGGTCGTGTGAAGTCCACCACCGGCACCTTGATCCTGACGAGTCCATCGAGAGGATCGAGTTGCTCCTGCTCAACACGCCGAGAAGCCTTTTCTGCTGCTTCCTGGAGCTTTTCATGAAGCTGTTTGTCAACGTGATCACACTTCTCATCCACTGTCTTGGACAACGGCCCTAGCTGAAGAGATGGGAAGTCCATCTCGATCGCTAGCGGCTCGGGATGGCGACTGCTGAACAAGGGAACTTCTAGCTTATAGTCTGCAATTCTCCTTTCACAAGATTCCATCACTAGGGGACCGTCTGATGAGGGACCGTCTGTGAAAGGGTTACCCTTAGAACAGCCGGATGCTGCCGATTCGGGATGGCTGATTTCGTCTCGATACTGGTTAAAAATAGTCGCCTCTGCCATCCCAAGTTCTTCACTGAGCAATGACCGTGGCTCAGACGGGCTGGGTATTTGGGCAGCATCCGAGTTGGGAATGAACGGCTCTGCTTCTGCAAATAGTGGAGTCGCTGGAGGCGTGAGATGGAAGTCCCGAGGTTTCTATGTGAACAACATCTGTTATCAATAAACTACCTCACGATCTTGCAAGGGAAGCAGAGTCGAGATTACCTTCTCCCGTGGCATGACCAAGTCTTTGAGCATGTCCTCGAAGCCTTGGTCGGCAGAGTTGTCCTTTTCGAGTTGCTGTGCGAGATATATCAACGATTCCCTGGTGACTTGCATCCCCTGAGTCAAAGACCTGTCCAGCTGGTCCATCTGTGCATACACAGACGGCGGGAAGGCTATCCCTTGGCCGCGGTCGACATCCAGCGCATCCAGGGGAATATCGTCGACCTCGATGGAGACAGGCCCTACCGTCTGGACACGTCGAACGAGGGCACGGTATTCCGTCTCACTCGGCGCAGACACCAGCGGAAGCTCCCACAGCGGCGGCGCTTCTGGAGCCCGGATACGGCATAGCTCCTTCACCAGTGGCGTCAGCTCGTCCTCGTCCTCCTCATAGCCACGGCACGCCTCGGCAATGGCGCGCAGGATTTCGGCGTCTATATCGAAAGTCTCCTGAAGTGCGCACGCCGGAAATTTTACTGAGTGGGCAAGGCATTCGTCGCCAAAGGAGCCTTCGTCAAAGGGGCCTGCCGGGATCCGGTCCAGAAAGGAGGGGTGGAGAGGATTGAACCGGTGGTCGGTGAGCAGTTTCCTGTGGGTTCCCTCGCAGTCCTCGACGAGATATCCATAGGCAAGGGCAGCCTCGGGACCCAGGAGGTCAGGATTGGCGTCCATAGCGGCAGGCTGGGTTACCTGAAATGTGCCAGCCCCCTTATTTGGTATGTATGGGCTGCTGGGGTTCTCAAGAGGATTCAGTCATGGGTAGGTACCTGTAGAATCAGCTACTGCAGCAGGCCCTCTAGATATTTTCCCGATTCAGGAAGGCACATATCGAGGGACGGAAGGTGTAGCCGCCGGCGCGTGGGAGCAAGGAGATCAAGAGCTCCCCACACGTACTTGCCGTATCCGGTAATACCAACCCCAATGACCCCGATCTCGGCTACCCCATCTGCCCCGCCTCGCGTTCCCAGCAGAGCTCCATCACGACGCCAGCAGCAAAGCTAGCTTGGAGGGATTACCTGGTGGTGGTATTCAGGTTCCGGATGCCGACTTATGGCTGGCAAACTCGTTGTCGTGACTGATATTGCCTACTCATGACACATGCGTGCCATGTACGAGCTGTCATGAGCAGGTGTGGCATTGGGTGGGAAGTGGCAGGTGGTAAGTAAATTTTTGTTTAATTTGTTCGCTGTGAAACAGCTGTTTTACTGGCATTTCCCCTTCCATTTTCCACTCGCACATCTTCGTATCCCTTACCCCTCATCGTTTAGTCGAAGATGCGGATAGGAGGGGTGAAGTCGGCTGGGTCGTTGAAGCGCACGCCAGCGTCGAGAGCCGAGATGGCCTGGATGTCTTCGTCGGCCAGGTCGAAGTTGACGCAGTCCAGGTTCTGGGCCAGGCGCTCGACGCTGTTGCTCTTGGGAATGACGACGATGTTGCGCTGGGTGGCCCAGCGGAGCAGCACCTGGGCGGGCGTGCGCTTGTGCTTCTCGGCGATCTTGGCGACGGTCGGGTGCGTGAAGAGGGCCTCGACCTTCTTGCACTTGGGGTTGCCGAGCTCGATGAAGCTCTGGGGGCCGAAGGAGCTGTAGGCCGTCACGACGATGCCGTGGTCCTGCAGCATGGCGACCAGGCTGGGCTGCACCAGGTAGGGGTGGTGCTCGATTTGGTTGACGGCCGGCTTGATCTTGGCGTGGCCCCAGAGGTCGTAGACGAGCTGTGAGGAGAAGTTGGCGACGCCGATGGAACGCAGGATGCCCGACGGGTTCGCGTCCGTCTTGACCAGGCTCTCAAGCGCCGACCACGTCTCGGACGCGGGCGTGTACTGCAGGGGCGTCGACCGCGTGCGCTCCTTGTCGGGCCAGAAGCACGGGTACATCAGCTCCGATTGCGGGATGTACTGCAGCGAGATGGGGAAGTGGATCAGGAACAGGTCCAGGTAGCCGACGCCCCAGGTGTCCACCTCGTACTTGGCCATCTCGATGGCGTGCTCGTACTTGTGGTAGTTGTTCCACAGCTTGGACGTGATGAAGAGCTCCTCGCGCTTGACCAGACCGTCCTTGATCGCCCGCTGCACGCCCTCGCCCGCCTGCTTGCTGTTGGTGTAGTCGTATGCGCCATCGATCTGGCGGTAGCCGAGCTTGATGGCGTCGTAGACGGCCTGGGCCGTGTTCTCGACGGGCACCTTCCAGATGCCGAAGCCGACGAGGGGCATGTCCTGTGGGAGAGAAGAGACGTTAGCGGCTCGTTTGCTACATCTTTTTTTATACTTTCACATCCTCCCATCGCATCCAACGCACATAGCCCGAGTTGAGCTTCACAGTCTTCGTGGAGACCATGGTTGCGGTTTTCTGGTAGCGTTTCTTGAGGTGGATGTGGTATTTGAGCTGCAACAGGCACTGCCGAGGTTCAGAGCAGAAACACGGGAGGACGGGACAGGGAAAGAACAACAAGGCAAGAGAGGGCGGGAGGAGATCCCCAACTAGCCGCCCCTGAGCCTTTTAATACCCCGACTCTACCTCCCCGCATCCGCGACACAACACGACACGCGCTCATCACGGAGGGGCCAAGTGGAGAAGCTTCACCTCAACACCGGGCCGAAGCCTTCGCGCTGCCCCTCCATTGCTCTGATCTCCATGACGAACGTCGCGGCAAGGAAGCAGCCGGGATCACAGGTCTCCAAGATTTTTTGCTAAGCAGCCCTGTGCCACGTCGCGCTCCAATCACAGCGGCCCAGTGCCCCAATAGTGTCCGCTCCCAGTATGGGGGCCAAGGCGGCACTGGAGCGTTATTGCCGCCGCTTCGGGAGAAACGTTGCCGACCGTTTTGATTCACCTGCAGCCCGATACAAAAAAAAAAAAAAACGAAACCAAAAAATGGGGGTACCCAACTGAACACTTTTTGCGCTAAGACTGTCCCTCCCAACCCCAAACATTGGTGGGTTGGAAAACGTGACCTCTACAGTAAGCCGCCATGCACGATGGGATCTAGGGTGAAATAGATGAACCAGCCAATGATAGGTAAATAAACCCAATATACGACACGATCGTGCAGCCTAACAAGAGAGAAATCCAGGGTTGATACACAGCAGGCAGGATAGTATAGTATATCGAGGCGCCTCGAGACTACCTTCTCCTCTTGCCCCCGCCGCCAAGCGAACCCCCCTCGGTGCCAGGCTTGCGTTTCTTGCCCTCCTTGCTCCAAAACTGCTTGCTCTCGCGCTTCTCGCGCGCAGCCTTCTTCTCCTCCCCTTCGGCCACCTTCTTGCGGTACGCGGCCCTGTGCTCTTCCTTTTTGACCCGCCGCTTCTCCGCCACGTCCTTGCGGATCGTCGTCAGCTTCTGCATCAGGTCGCGCGCCTTCTTCTCCTCGCCGCGAAGCACCACGGCTCGCTTTTGCATGTATGTCTGGCGCGGCTGCGACCGCGTCTGCACGATTTGAGACTTGAACGGGAGCTCCGCCGCGAGAGCCTTGGGCACCCGCACAGGATTGAAATGGCGCGTCGCCCGCTCGATAGGTCGGTAAAGGCTGTTGCGCTGCTGTGGTGTAGCCACTCCCTCAGCATGCCGCACCTCGCCCGTCAGTCTCATGGGCTGCCAACCAATCAGGTTGGATGCTGGGTTGTAGAAGCGATGCGGCTTGATCGGGTACCATGCCCTCAGGAAGACGATGTCGCTCATAAGAATCTTGTCCTCGAAGGTTGCGCGGAAATGCCCATCTGGCTTGGAAAGTGCCCGCTTGATCTGCCCCCGTACTCCCGATACCGTCTTGATTGCCGCGCCTTCGAACTTGGCTATTTCCAGGCTTGTGCTGAACATGTCCTTGATGAAGGCGGTATTCTTGAAGACCTTGTATGGAGCTCCCGTGAGCTTCAGCTTCTTGACTATTTCGGTCGACTCGTCCACGCTGAGCACGGTCCCCGTTGCCGCTATCCGGAACCCGGGATTGGCCGATGAGAAGGACTGGAAGCAGACGAAACCCGTGTTGGGCGCAATAAGCGGCCCGTAGAAGGTTGTGAAGCAGTGCATATGCTCAGGTGTGTACTTCAGCATGCGATTCCTCGTTCGCGAGTCCGATATGCTGAAGATGGGCAGCGACTGGAATCTTCTCCACCCTAGCGAGAAGATCAACGGGTCGCTGGTTTTCAGGATCTTCTTGTGCCAACGATGTCTTTTGATTCGCGCCTGGATGAAACCGAAGCGGTCCTCTGTGGCTGATAGGCCACCCATGATGATCGGCAATCGTGAGTTGAAGTTGGTTGAGAACTCGGCGGGCACACCGTCAATGACGATCCTGGCGTACTTGCCCGCCTTGAACCCTTCCACGGCTACTCGTTGCCTGTCGTCAAGCGTCTCGTACTCGGCCTTGTTGATGTCGAGCTGCTTTTGGATTAGAGCCTTTTGTGACTCGTACCACTCATCTTCCCCGAACTCGTCTTGGTTGCCACCCTCCTGTCTGGCCAGCACCTTCGGGTTCCTGAAGCCTTCGCGGTCTTCTTCCTCAAACCTCAGCTTGAGCTCTTCCTTGCGCCGCGCGTTCTTTTCGCGCTCTGCTTCCAGGTTGTCTGGATCTTCCTCTTCTGGTGATTCTCCTGTGGTTGGTCCATGCTTTTCGCCCGTTTCCAGGTCCTCGAACTCGCCGTCTCCCTCACTGTCGTCTCCCTCACTGTCGTCTCCTTCATCGTTCCCGTCCTGGCCCCCGTCGCCATCGTCGTCCTCGTCCCCGTCGCCATCGTCTTCGTCGCCATCCTCGTCGCCCAAGATGTTGGCCGAAGTGAACCGTTTCCTGAGCTCCTCGATGGCGTCATCTGTCCAGCGCGCGGCAAGTGCGTTATAGTCGCAGATGGGTACTGAACGATCCTCCGGCTCATCACCCAGCTGTTCGACTTTGGATCGTTTGAAGAAGGTATCCTCATCGTCTTCGGCGTCGATGTCCTCCTCGTCCTCCTCATCGCTTTGGCTACCCTTCCACCTCTTAACGATTTCATCGGGAGTTAGATTGTCGTCGTACATGATCCGAGCAAGATCTGACGGCTGGCCGTAACTCCTCCTCTTGTGCATGGACTTGGCCCTCTCGTACAGATTCTCTTTCCACTTGATGCCAGCCTCGTCGTCGTCATCGGAGCCTGGTTCCTCGTCATCGGAATCTTGTTCGCCCTCGTCACCAGAAAGAGAACCAAGGTCGGAGTCGCTATCAGCGAAAGCGAGATCTTCCGAGGCATCGCCTTTTGCATCGGAGGGTTTCCGAAACATCTTCCCGAGCTTTTCGGGGCGAAACTCGGCCTCCACGTCAGAGTCGCCCTCCTCCGCGCTACTCCCCGAATCATTGCCCTCGCCTAGGTCTTCATCCTCCTCTCCAGGGCCGTCTTCGCGGTCGGCGAGGCGCGGTTTTCTGCGGTCTTTCCTCCCAGTGTCTTCCTCCTCGGCAATGCTTCGGATCTGCTCGCCGCCAGCAAACAACCGGACTCCAGCATCGGTCTGACCAAGGAGACGGCGCTCCCCCTGAAGGCCAATGACCAACTCTTCTCCCTCCCCCCTCTCGGTGTTTTCGGCGTCCTTGTCGAAAGTGAACCCCTTTTCTCTGTAAATGTAGATGGCATCGCCGTCGATCTTCAGGCCGCTGCGGTCGGACATGGGGGCATAAAGCTTCTTTTCCTTCTCGTCAAGCCGCCTCCTCCCCTTCTTCCCTGTGATCTTCTCCATGGCCTTCTCCATCGAGGGGGTGGGGCAGGGATCCGGCAGCTCCTCCATGCTGGCGATGGTGAAGTCTCCAAGGCCGGCGATGTGCACACGTTGGCCTTCGGCTGCAAAATTTGTTCCCCTCAGATAGCCTGAGAGCACGATGGAGCGGTCGCACTTCTCGTCCTCTTCTATTTTGGAAGGGTGCGTGATATCTCTGAAGCTGTCGACAATAGTGTAGGGGTGAGAGTTTCTCCAGACCAGGGGGCGCGGGTTTTTCATGACGGAGAGGAAGCGGGAGAGGTTGTGGATCTCGCGGTCGGGGTAGCGACCGTTCATGACGCCAGAAAGATAGAACAGGTGGGCTCCCTGGTACAGTTCACTCCATAGCCTGTGCTTCAGCCTCTTCTTCGCGTCCTTGAGCGCCTGGGGCTTCCGAAAAAGGTCCAGATGGGTCAGGACGCCAAAAACGTTTCCGGGCATGCCCGTTGAAGCCAAGATGTTGAGAAACTCCATAGTCTCCATCTCAAAGCCATAGTTGCCATCAATCATCAACAGCACGATGTCGGCGACTTTGGCGATGTCCACCATGGCCTCGAGCTCGTTCGGACATTCGAGAAACGTCAGGCGCTGCTTCTTTGATGTGACGACAGTGATAGGACCCTGGGGGTCGGAGATGGTCTCCTTTGCATATCGGCGGACCAAGGACTTGAGGAGAGTGGTCTTGCCGACGCCCGGGGGTCCGACTATTGTGACAAGCCGCGGCGGCGGCTCGTCGGGGAGGCGATCGACGAGGGGCACATGGAGGCGTTTTTCTTTGATCTATCCAGCAGTTAGCCGGGGTCGTTCGGCGTGCCGGTGCGGCAAGACAGATGATGAGAAAGCTCTTACATCATGGGATCGCGTTGCAGAGCGAAGGAGCTTGCCAGGGTTCGCAAAGCTGAAGGCCTTTGGATTGGGTCCTGCGGGAAAGAGGTATGTGAGCACGACAGCCGCGCAGTTAAAAGGCTTTACCATGCAGGTGTCGCATGGCCAAAAGGTGACCGACCAGAGTGCTTTTTTTTCTCTTTTGACTTCCGGTGCGGCTTGTGGCTCTGGTCGTCCATGTTGACGAGCGGGAGTCCCAGGACTACCTGCAATTATCGCCCGTTGTTGTGTCAATCCGACTTTTTTCCCCCAGCTTCGCGCTTCTTGGGGCAACTCGATGTCTCTCCAGTCGCGCAAATGCAGCTTCTGCGAAATCCTCCAAAAACTTTTTGACCGCCCTGGCAGAATGTGAACGATGAGCGCAAAAGTGGATAGCGTTTCTCCATATCTTATCTCTGGCTGATTATCGATAATAAACGGACGGCGGGGCGTTTTCCGTTGCGGGGTGGTGGGGTGGGGTGGGGTGCTAGGTATCGCGGGTGGGAACCGACAACACCATGCAGACCAGGTGGGATGAGGGGTACTGCTCGATGTCGTAGCCATGGAGAGCAGAAGACCCAACTTGGTTGCAAACATTGCTGGCTCGATGGCCATGAAGCAGCATGGAAGCCTCTCCCGTGGTGTTAATATCCCGAGGTAATCAATCTAGAGCTAAGGATGTCCTGTGGGTCAAGGCTTGCAAGAACAGGCATCGATCAACAACTTGAGACTGCCCAGTCTGGATAAGTGAGGATTGCACTTGATCTCTCCCTCCGGACTTCCGTGTTTCCCAGCACAAGTGCTCGGGTTCCTTCGGGATACACTTGGACCATGGACCTTGGCCCGCCCGATCTACTACGCGCTCTAGTGTACTGGTGACTTGTAGAGGTAGAACTAGGGGCAATGTACACCCCTTGGCGCTTGTCGTGGGTGCAATGACGTACTCGCGTCGCTGTTGGGTAGCCCAAGGAACCGCTGAGGTGCTGAGATCTTTCTCTTGCTCCGTCTCAGGCTCTAATACCGCGTCACCGGACCTTCCATGCTAAGTAGGTGCGACCGAGCTCCTCTCCCAGCGAAGCATTAATGTGGAGTACCAGCTGCGGCATCATAAAAGGCACTCTGCGGCCGCCAGTTCAAGCAACAGTGCCAGCCTCTACGACACGTCTCTGGCGCCTAATTCATTCTACTTCAAACACACGTCTACAACACCAGCCCCCAGCAACCCCGCAAGCACCAAACACCAACTCAAAGATGCCTTCCTACATCGTGAGCTTCGTCTCTTTTTCCTCTTGTCGCCCCCTCGCATAGTTCTACCGCCGGTTCCGTGTCGGTAATTCTAACAATCGCGGCCATAATGTCGTAGGTTACGTGCAAGGAGGATGCCACTCCTGAGCAGGTGGAGGCGTAAGCACAAGCCAAATCCCACTTCCATGAGCATCATACCCAGCTGCCCGCAGACGACGTTGACACACTCTCTTCTTATCTTCTACACAGCGCCAAGAAGCACGCCACCGATCAGGGTGGCAAGATCGGACACAGCTTGGACATCATCAAGGGCTTCTCGTACGTTTATCCTGCCCGAACACTATTCAGTTGCTTAGGAAAACTCCCCTCCGGAACAAATAGTTAACGTGTTCTGTGTTACTTGCTCCCCTAGCGTCACCTTCCAGGAAGACGCCGTCACCACCCTAGAGTCGCACCCGCACATCCACGCCGTCGAGGCCGATGGTGTGGTGACGACCCAATAGACGCGAGCAGGAGATATATCCCATGGTGGAACTTGTATCCGAACACACGCAGGTCGACCGGGCTTGGTCCTTTCAGGCCACCCATCGCAAATCAATTTCACATTCCCAACATCTCACTGTGATTCTTGTGCTTGTCATGAATGATTGTCCGCTCTCAGTACGGTGTCGAGCCAAATTCTATCTGTGATGACGGTTCCAGTTGATGACTTCAAAGGCCGAGGCCCTGTCTCAGGCTTGTCCAGGGTTAGTGGGGCCCGCCCAAAGATGACATCGATCTGCCCTGTGCTCTGCGCGAATCGTCTGGGCGTGCAGAGATCTGCTCGGGTGCAGCACTCTTCATTCAGGCACAGGGGTTTGATCGTGGGACATGATAAAAGGGGTCTTGAAATTAGATGTCCATATGAAATGCTAGAAGCGTTTTGGGAACGAAGGGTGGAAGTATTGATCCATCTCAATACGCTGTATCTCTCTTCGCATGACGATTTCATCCTGGTGGCGCCACCCAGCTTAAAGATCAGTGGGTTCCAGTTGTTCCGGAGGAGACAATAGCCAGAACCTCCCCTGTAGGGATCCCAACATACCCTTAATCCACTTCCAATGGCAAGAGCAGGAAGCAGGACGACCAGCTAGACTCATCAATATCTGGTGTGATTCCATTTGCTGTTTGTGTGTCAATCACAACCCTCACAGGACACTGCCCCATGAGACTGGAGCGTCTCGTTGTGCGCACTCTCTCGCCCTAGTACTGTTGGAATATCCAGGGGTAGACGGAGGCGATGCCGACGAGATGATAGGCTGGTCGCGCCAATTGAGGTGCACTCCCGCCTGGACAGCAGCAGCAGCAGTAGCGGCCTCACGGCAAGCGGCGAGACCAACAAGCAGAGCAGCGGCGGCGGCTGCAGGGTCGCGAAGATGGCTCGGTTCGGCAACGCCACGTCGCCATGAAGGCGAGAGCGGTTCCGGCGGCGCACGCCTCGACGACCACGACATCTCGCGCCTCGCCGGCAAGCACCTGCACCAGCTGCGCCTGGCCGACCTGGTCAAGCACGGCCGCCCGCCGCTGGCCGAGGAAGCGCTGCTACAGTCGGCCAACTTCACGCTGAGCCTGCTGCCGGTACGGCTCGCCCACCGCCTCCAGGCGCTGCGCAGCCTCCCCTACATCGTCGTGTCCAACCCCAACATCCGCACCATATACAACAACTACCAGCACTCGCTCGAGACCCTGCTGCCCTGGGAGGAGCGCGGCGGCGTCGCGACCCTGGAGGAGGAGGTCGAGTTCACCGCCGTGCTCGCCCAGCTCGTGCAGACGCACGCCGACACCATCCCGACCCTCGCCCGCGGCTTCCTCGAGTGCCGCCGCTACGTGCGCCCCGAGGACGTGACGGCGTTCCTCGACGAGCACCTGCGCGCGCGCATCGGCACCCGCCTCGTCGCCGAGCAGCATATCGCCCTGCACTTCTCATCGGCCCCGCACTTCGACCCCGGCGCCAGCCCGACCCCCTGCCCAGACGAGCCCTCCTTCATCGGCGTCATCGACACGGCCCTCCGGCCGGCCGACGTCATAGACCACTGCGGCGGCGCCGTGGCCGACATTTGCGAGCTCCGCTACGGCGTCCGCCCGGACTGGGTCGTCGACGGCGAGCCCGACACCACGTTTGCCTTTGTGCCCATGCACCTGCACTACATCGTCACGGAGCTGCTCAAGAACGCCTTCCGCGCCACGGTCGAGAACCGCATGAGCAGGGAGCCCATCGTCGTCACCATCGCGCCGGAGCCGCCCTTCAGCAGCGGCGGCGCCGTGCGCGTCAAGCCGCCCAGCGAGGACCGCGGCAACTTCCGCTCCGACGCCCCCATCCGCCCGCTCGACGACAACGCCCCCGGCGTCACCATCCGCATCCGCGACCGCGGCGGCGGCATCGCGCCCGACGTGCTGCCAAACATATGGTCCTACAGCTACACCACCTTTTGCGAGCAAGACGACACCCTGCCCGGCGGCGGCGGGGGCAGCAACAGCGGGTCGGACGCGCTCAACATAATCTCGAGCGCCAGTAACGGCCGCAGCTCCATCGCGGGACTCGGCTACGGTCTGCCCCTGAGCCGTGCCTACGCCGAGTACTTTGGCGGTGGCATCGCTGTCCAGAGCCTTTACGGATGGGGCACGGACGTCTACGTGCGGCTCAAGGGGGTGGGTAAGATCGTATGATGAGGGACGGATGAATAGAATGCCGTGTCACACATGTGTAATCACGGGCAGTTGATGCCCGGATTTGGGTCTTTGTTTCCTCGAATTTCTTGTGCCGTGGATCAGGTGATAACGCTTTGGAGAGTACTCACGCCATGGGAACTGCGTGGGTAAGTGAGGTACATATCAGATTTGAGAGTCTTGCTGCGGTTGGACACTGTCTGAACAAGCTTTAGAGGGGACACCAAAAACCCAGTTCCACGGCAAGTGATTCAAAATCCTTTTATTTGGGTTCAGTCTAAATACCAGCGCAATTTTGATAAACCAACAACAACCAGCAAAACAAGACAGGAAAGCGTGCGTGCTTCGTGACACATGACCGTGATTATTAGTTTGGGTGGCTGGTAACGGCCTATATAAATGAGATGAAGTATCAAAGACAAGCTCGAACTATTGGTGCCATAACGCAAGCAACAGCAATAAGCGCGGAATGGCTTGGAATGACAGAAATAATCGGCTTATACACGCAAAATTTCCCAATGGATAGACCAAAAAGAGCGATACAAACAGGCTGGGAGTATGTGACAATATTTTTTTTGCTCCAGATCAAACAGGGACGACGAAAAAGTCAACGACAGAGAGACGGCTGCCAGGGCTTTATGCGGAACGAGAATTACATGTTGGCAAGCTCATTGTCGATGTGGCGATCCAAGAACGTTCTCCTCTCGCCCACCAGCTCCGTCTGCAACCTCTGCTCCACGAGGGCGCGAACCTGCTTCTTGGTGACGGTGTCGAGGTCGACCTCGGCGAGGACGGCGCGGATGGCGTCGACGATCATGGCGTCGTCGGGGCCGGCGGCGCCGCGCTGGAAGTCGAAGCCGAGCGCGCTCTGGCTCCTCTCGCCGCCGAGCGGCGTCCTGGCGCCGCCGATGTAGCCGCTCATGGCGGTACCGGCGCGCGGAACGGGCGAGGCGCCGCCCATGCCGCGGAGGTTGCTCATGCTCGTCATGCGCCCGTGGGCCGGGTAGTCCTGGTACGGCGACTGGGCGATGCCGCCCATGCTGGCCATGGACTGCCGGTGGGCGATGGCGGGGCCAGGTTGGTCCGAGTAGCCGGCCAGGGGCGAGGTGCCCATGGTGTTGGAGCGGTTGTGGAAGGCGGCGGGTGAGTGGGGCGGCATGTAGGCGGTGCCGCGGTTCTGGAGGCCGGTGAGGATGGAGCCCTGGCGGACTGAGGAGTACACAGACTTCATGTCGTCCATCTCGTAGGCGTCGTCGAAGACATGGTCCTGGGGCTTCTCGTTGGGGCCACCGCCGCGGCGGCCGGGCAGGTTGTTCTGCAGAGCGTAGTCGTCCCAGCGCTGCAGGGGGACGGAGCGCGGGTCGAATTTCTCGCCATCGACGGCAACAAGCGTTTTCTGGCCGGCCTCACCAACGACGATGCGGGTGTTACCCCACGAGAAGTTGTCCTGGTTCCAGAAGGAGTAGATGGGAAGCACGAAGGAGTAGATGGGGAAGGCAAGGATATAGATGATCATCCAGCCGATGTGCTGCCATTGCCTCTTGAGGATGAAGATCAACGCCTGCAACCCGTAAACGGCCGCCAGAATGATAATGGCAATGAGCGGGAAGGGCGAGATGCCGGTCGCGGCAGTGTAGATGAGGTAGGCGAGGTAGATGGTTGTCGACGGAAGAATGATGGTTCCGAACAGATCCACAAACACGACGAAACGCATGCTGAAGCAGCAGAAACCGCACATTTCCTTGAGGGCCATCAGTTCGACCAGGTTGTGGATGGTGGAATTGATCCATCGGCGACGCTGGGACAGAAGAACGCTCCAGGACTCGGGGGCAGCCGTTTGGCAGTAAGCATTGGGGTTGAACTTGTACGACATGTAGGGGAAGTGCTTGGTCATGAGCGTGGTGAGGTAACGATCCTCTCCGAGAGACAGCAGATTCTTCTTGTGAAGGGTGTCGACGTTGCAATCACTGTAGTCGCGGATGACGCCGTCCGAAATGATCAGGGGTTTACCGCGGTCAGAGGTCCTCAGACGGTACATGGTGAAGCTGTGGTGGGAGGGCACGTTAGTTTCCGTGTCATGGATACGGACACAGGGGATCAGGTCGACTTACCAGCCGGGCAAACAGGTGACGCTGCCAAACAGGGACTCGAAGGCCTTCGCCATGTGGTGAGAAATGAAGTACTCGTAAACTTGAATCATCGTCCACCACGACTTCTCCTCGTTCTGCAAGCTGGTCTCTCCGCAAATACCAGCGATCTTGGCATCGTTCGCACACGAGGCGACCAGTCGGTTCAGCGAATCCTCGCGGACGCAAGTGTCGGCATCGATCATCAGGAGATACTCGTAAAGCTCGGGGTCAACACCAATAATGTTGTTGATCTGGTGGAACATTTCGAGCTCGAGCGGGTTCATGGGGGAGCGGTGGTGGACACGGTTAAGGAAGCTCATGAGCAGAATCTGCGAATCACGCTTGCCTCGGTTGCCGGGCTTGGCCTTGCTCTGCTCCGACTCCTTGCCGACTTTAACGACCACGATGTACGGCACGACATTGCCCTCGTACTCGTAGAGGCCAGAGTACACCTTTCCGTAGTTGAGCTGCTCGCTGGTGGTTCCGACAGACTTGAAGGGCAGGGCGGGAGGGTCGAGCTTGGGATCGACACCGAGGATATCGAGAACGATCTTGGGCGTGGGACGGTCATTGCCAGCACCAACGAGGACACCGTCACAGATGACACAGATAAGCTTGCGCTTGTTGTCGTATTCGAGAGCCGTCAGAGAATCCAGGGCCTTGCGCAGCGAATCCTCGCCTTCAGTATAAGCTGGGACCTGGCAGATGACAAACTTGTCTTGAGGCGACGGGCGACGCTTGGATCCAAACTGCAGCGCCGAGACGAACTTGAGCAGCACAATAGCACCCATGAGAATGGCGTAAGCTAGAAGAAGCCAGTTGTTGGTAGTGCATCGAGCCGACTTGCGGAAATCAGTGGTGCCGATTTTGAAGTATGAATCAAGGCAGACCATGTTGTTCTGCAGGATGATGGAGCGAGTCTGATTGCTCGAGGCTGCGTTCTTGAACAGGCCCTTCCACTGGTCCGTGACATCGGTGCCGGGATTGCGACGGACGACCTCAACCATGCTGCTGTCCAGGAATTGGAACTGGGGGAGGTTGCTCATGGTCTTGAGGGTGTTGAAATAGTCGCTCAGGTCATAGACATTGTTATCATAGATGACGCGCTGGAGCCCGCTGTCCTGTCCGTCCTTCTTGATCTGGTCCACGTCCCAAACTAGTTCACCCTTATAGTACTCCTTAAGGCGAGGGAGGTACACATTGCCATACCAATCGGGATCCGTGATCTTGGCTCCAGTGTAAGGCGACCGTTTGCCAGAGATGTGCATGCCCTCGGCGTGCTCAATCCTAGTGTCGTTTTGGGTCAGAGCGAGGTTCTGGTCGGTCACGATGCCAGGACAAGCCTTGAAAAGGAGGGGCTGGATATAGGGGTCCATGTCGAGTCCAGCGAAGGGCTGCATCTGGTCCGCCGTGGTCTCACGACCAGTGTAACCGTGCGGGACCTTGTAGAACTTGGTAATGTCGTAGACCTTGCCGCGGTTGCTGATCCAGAAATCATCTCCGCCCTGGTGCTGCGAGACGTCGGCTCGATTCCAAACCTTGTCGAAGTTGGGGCACAGGATGCGACCGAAGAAGATAATCCAAAAGATGATGAGGGCGTTGATGAGCAGAATGAAGAAGCAGAGAACCACCTTCTCGCGCCATGCCATACGGACGTCAGGGCGCTTCATCCGGCCGACATAGCGGAGGAGAGGCGAGGGAATCCAGAAGGTGAGGGCCCAAACGACAGCAACCCAGACTCTCCGCTTGGCAGTAGTCTTCTCCTCCTCGAGCTTCTTTCCGCTAGCAAACTCGGGGTCGAGCGAGTTGACAAACTCGCCTTCCCCGTTGAACTCCACGGCGTCGCGGAAGTTGTCACCCTTGTTGCCAAGACCGTAATCGCCAGCGCTAACGTTGCGCATGCCTGATGGGGCGATGGAGGGGGCAGCATTGAGCCCTCGGGTCAGGGTGGCCTGGCTCTGGTTCCTCTGGTGGTTGAGCAGCTGGTCGCGGCTACCGTTGGAGGCGAGGTCGACATGAGGAGGGAAGTAACCGCTGCCCGCGGCAGAATATCCCGTGTCCATACCCATCATGGTGGAAGCACCGAGGGGCATGTTGTCACCCGGGGGCTTCATGTCGAGCATGCTCTCGGCCTCCCACCATGCGTGCTCCCTCATCCAGATGCGCTCGTTTCCGACGACAACTTCACCATTGCTCCAGCCACGCTCAAGGACCCAGCTCTCGATGCCATCGCGGCCATCCTTGCAGCCGAGGATCTGGTAGCGCTGGACAAACTCGTCCATGTCGAAATCAGCAGTAAAATCCAGGCTCTTGTTTCGCCTGTTGGCCCACTCAGGGAGCCTCCAGGCTCGGAGCTGTCGCGAGACAGTGCCGGCAGACCAGGCCGAGTTGATGGAAGGCAGAGCAGCGAGACTGGCGGGGGATTCGTCTGTAGGGTGGATTGACAGGTGATACCACGCACGGCTGCTGCTCAGGATGGAGGCAAGGTCCATGCGGCCCTCCCTGCCGAGGTTGATACCTTGGCCGGGGACAGGGAAGAGCAGCTTCTTGAGGAAACCGTCGTCGTCGGCGACGAAGCCAACCTTCTCCAGAACGTCTTCGCGCTTCTGCAGCAAATGCTGTCGCTCCCTGCCGGCCTGACCAGTCATGATTCCAAGCTCGGGCTCGGCCTCGCTGACAGCAGTCTGCATCTCGCGCACGACAGAGGGACCGACAGAAGCCACATCCACTCCGTCCTGCTTCATCTCGGAGTTGATTCCCTGGCTATCGTCGAAGATGCCGCGCATGCAAATGGCCTTGCCCACGGCGGGGTCTGGAATCTCAACCACCGTGATACAGACGGTGTCTCCATTGTCTTCTGTGGTATTGGGGGTTCTGGCGCCGCGGCCACCGTCGCTCGACTCGTCACCGTCCCGGATTCGCGCCAGTTGGGCCTTGATGGCTTGGTTGGCCTTGGAGATAACCCAGTCGACGAGAGCCTCGTAAAGGCCGCCGATCAAAGTCTGACGGTCCTGAGTGGTGCACTGCTTCGACAGGGCCTCGGGCTCCAGACCAAGAAGACCACCGACATCCTCACAAATCTCATCCAAGGCATCAGCGTCGACGTCGTAGTCCAGCGTGTTGCCGAGCTTCAAAAGGCCGGCGAGCATGGAGATGAAGTCGCGATGGGCAGAGCCCTTAATACCGATATCCTTGAGCGCGGAGCGGAGGTCGTCGGCGGCGGCCCCATCATCAGCGGTAGGCAGGTAAGAAGGCGGATCGTACGTGCCAGACCTCGCGAGAAGCTTGTAGTTGGAGGCGCTCTTCAGGCCGAGGAATTCCCGCTCGGCAGGTGTGGATGATGATGAAAGAAGGTGATAAAAGACGTCGAAGGCGCGGTACCCAGATTCAGCTGGAATGTTGAGCAGTCCTTTAGTGGTGTCTATCCCAGTCTGGGACAGAGCCAGGCTCGCCGCTGTCAAGTTGCCGGCCAGGTTGAGGGTCAGGGTCACGCCGAGGGCCGAGTGGCGCGGGGCCGAGGGGTTGAAGGGTGCCACAGAGTGGAGGAAGGGGTTGAGGGCGTCGATCGCCTTGAATAGCGAGGAGGGGATGCTCATGGGCAGCGAGGAGAGAAAGGGGCCCAGGACCGAAGGGGTGGACTGATGTAGAGACCTGAAGAGCAAGTTAGTAACATGGCCGCAAGGAATAACATCACAAGAGGTTCAACAACGAGGGACATACCCCAGGATGATGCAACCATCTTCCGCACGGCGACGCGCGTGTTCCCAAGCCCGGGCGGCCAGGGCAGGGTCGACGGTGCCTCCTGTGCGACCATCAGGGCCGGCCTGGGTGGCAGTGAGCCAGGTGTTGACCACAAGGCTTGTGCCGACATCCAGTTGGTATGGCTGAGAGGCGAGGTAGATGTTGTGGACCGCGTTTAGCAGTGTCGTCGTTGACACCTGGGCCGACTGCCCGGCGCCTCGGGGGACACCGAGGCCCTCCGAGGCGACCGAGTACATGGACATGCGGGCCTGGTGGTTTGCCATCGTCGCAGCGTTCCGAGTTGAGAAGAGTCTCCCAAGCACAGAACGACCACGGCCCGTTGGGGGCGTTCAGGTCGTGTCGTCTAGTTCGGCCAGAAGAAACGGTATCTCGGGCAGCCAGGTGTGGATATTAGGAGGATATAGCGAGCGGACAAAGGATGTTCAACGAGGCTCGGAAGTCGTGATGTTTACGACTGTGGCAAACCTGCAGCTGAGAACTATGCAAGGCAGAGCCACAACACGATTCGGTTCGCTGGGAGACGACGCGTGTGACGAGCGAGACGGTCCCTTGGCTCTGAAGCCCGAGGTGTCGACAACCAAACGGCTCAACAAGCAAACAAAGGCCAAGTAAGTATTGCGGAAAAGGACTGACAAGAACCGCCACCGAGCCGCCAAAACGAATGGAGACGGGCTGGTGATGGGACACGGGCACTCCAGCAGAAGAATGCGGAACAGCCGTTGGTGAACCAGGAAATCGTTCAGATCAATTGGATTTCCGCACGACGACAACGGCACTCGCCCAGCAGCCTCCTAGTGCACGAGCATTGCAACAACCCCCTGACGGACCGTCTCTCAGGGGGGCGTGTGGGCATGAAGCGGTACGGCGGGCGACAGGAGCCAGAGACGCAGGCCACGCTAAACGGATCTCGCGACAAAAGTGGGATGTGGCAAGGGACTCTCAAGAGCCGATTGGCAATCAGCCAACTTTCCCTTCCCAGGCACAACAGAGTCATTTACTGTGGAATAGCGGCCGCAACACACGAGATTGCTCCGTGCGAATGCCGACGGCGGAGGCCCCTTTCGCATTCCTGCAGCGCAGCGTGAGCTGGGAATACGAGAATTCTGACTGACAGTCCCACCGTCTCTCATGCTCACATCGGCAGCCAACCCAGGCGGCTATTTTTGCACACGAACTGCCCCTAGACGACAAAAAACAGAGGAGAAAATCAAGCTTTGAAGACCCGACGCCCAGATCATCTTGTCTAGTGTGGTGCATGTGCCGTGCAGAGAACTGGGCCAGGCTTCGTATGTACAACTGTAGAATATCCCTCCGATGCGGGCGGTACTTAAGCGTGCAGGAGCTCGCCGGGCTCGCCGCTTCAAACGGTGGCGTCGATGGGTATTGCTTTTTGTTTTTTTACTTCTTTCTTTTGGCCGATGGTGGGCCACTTCCAACGCGAGACAAACCGCGAAAGCATGGATCGCAAAACATTGGCCTGTGACTCTCAGATAGGGGGCCAGTGAGGACATTGGCCGAATATGCAACCCGGATCACCCCCTATTTGGTCACCAAACTCAGCCACGACTAGACCCGCTTTCAGACGGACAACTTCCCTGCACTGGAAAGCGCTGACAATTGACATTTCAGCTTGCGTTTGGTTTTATTTTCCCACGCTTCCCTTCGCCCCCACAGGATGCAGCCTCTTCCGTCCCAGACCAAGGACGAGCCTGCACCCGTGCTCCGGAGCACCGACGACGGATCGGTGGCGTGCGTAGCGCCGGTCTGCCGAATGTCTGATGCCCAATGAGATCTCCAATGAGCCAGCGCACTATGGATGAGGAACTGTGGGAAGCGGCCAAACCACGCACCAGCCTAGGCAGCTCTAGTCGACTAGATCCTGACGGATTTTCCAGGGCAAAAGCCGCCTTCTTGCTCCGTTCCGTCACGTACATACCTAGCACCCTAGGTAGGTGTTGAGGCACATGCCTGTCGTTCATGGCCACCATGTACGGAGCAGGATATAAACGGTACGCTGTGGGCCTAACAAGGGGGGGGGGGGGGGGGGGGTGGGGTGGGTACGGTAGGTA